GATGTCCTTGTTATCATTCCACAACTCATCTGGTCTTTGGTCATTAGTGTTCAACACGTCAAATCTATTCTTGAGATAGTCTCTAAATTCAGGTGGGATATACTCAAGGTTCTATTTTGGCTTTCATAGACTTGTTCTAATTTTCTTCAGCTTCCACTTTAACTTGCATATGAGCAACTGATGGTCTATTCCACAGTTGGCCCCTGGTCTTGTTCTGACTCATGGTACTGAAATTTTCCATTGTCTCTGTCCACAGATGTAGTGGATTTGATTTCTGTGTATTCCATCTGGTGAGGTCCACACTTACAGTTTCCGTTTATCTTGTTGAAAAAGGTATTTGCAGTGAATAAGTCCTTGGTCTAGTGAAATTCTATTGTGTGATCTCTGGCAATGTTTCTATCACCAAAGCCACATTTTACAACTACCCGACCCTTTTCCAACTTTCACATCCCAAACACCAGTAATTATTAATGCACCCTGATTGCATGTTCCATCAATTTCAGACTGTAAAAGTTGCTAAAAATCTTCTAGTTCTTCATCTTTGGCCTTAGTGGTTGGTGCGTAAATTTGAATAATGGTCGTATTAACTGGTCGTCCTTGTAGGCGTATGGATATTATCCTATCTCTGACAGCATTGTACTTCAGGATAGATCTTGAAATGTTCTTTTTGATGATGAATGCAACGCCATTCCTCTTCAAGTTGTCATTCCTGGCATAGTAGACCATATGATTGTCTGATTCAAAATGGCCTATACCAGTCCATTTCAGTTCACTAATGCCTAGGATATTGACATTTATGTGTTCCCTTTCATTCTTGATGATTTCCAGTTTTCCTAGATTTGTACTTCATACATTCCATGTTCCAATTATTAATGAATGTTTGCAGCTGTTTCTTCTCATTTTGAATCGTGCCACATCAGCAAATGAAGGTCCTGAAAGCTTGACTCCATCCACATCATTAAAGTCGACTCTACTTTGAGAAGGCAGCTCTTCCCCAGTCGTCTTTTGAGTGCTTTCCAACCTGAGGGACTCATCTTCTAGCACTGTATCAGACAATGTTCTGCTGCTATTCATAAGGTTTTCACTGGCTAATTCTTTTCAGAAGTAGATCACCAGGTCCTTCTTCCTAGTCTCGAAGCTTAGCTGAAACCTGTCCAGCAAGGGTGACCCTGCTGGTATTTGAATACCGGTGGCATAGCTTCCAGCATCACAGCAACACACAAGCCCCCACAAACTGACAGATGCGTGAGGGTCCTGAGGCATTAGACTTCTTTATCAATGTATTAGGCCATTTCTTGAAATTGGTCTAGGACTGAGGAGAAAGGGATCCTTTACCAAGAAAAATGCTAGCAATGGTAGCATCTTTTGAGTACCTTCCAACCTGAGAGAACATACTTTGTATGATTCTGATTCTTTTAAATTTATTGGAGTATGTTTATAGCCTAACGTATAGTATATGCTGGCTTATGTTCCATGAGGACTTGAGAAGAATGTGTATTCTGTTGTTGTTAAGTTGGAGTATTCTATGAAAGTCTTATAGGTCTATTTGGCTTATATTCAAGTCTTCTATTTCTTTCCTGATGTTTTGTCTAGTTGTTCTATTCATTATTGGTAGTAGGCTACTGTGTATGGGTCATACTTGCTTGTTTCTTTGCAGATCCAGTAATTTTTTGTTTAAAGTTGGGCATTTTAAATGATATAATGTGGCAACTCTGGGAAGATTCTTACCCCTCACCAGAATCTTCGGTTGTTGCTGTTCCTTGTAGTTGTTTTTTGTTTGTTTTGTGACTTGTTCTGAACTAACTCTGTAAAGTCTGTGTTTTTTTTCCTCTGTGGCCACTGAAGTGTCTGCTCAGTTAGCTTAGTGGTCAGTTAGTAATTGGACAGCTATCCTTAAATGCATGGGACCAATATGTCTTCTGGTCTTTGCTGAGGATCTTTGTGTGTATATTGGGTCATACCTTTGACATTCTGCCAGACAGTTGACAACTCTGCCTTAAATTTTACTTCCTCCTTGCACAGAAAATTAAGGTTAGCCAGAGGTGCCACCTTAGGGCTTTCTACGGTCTTTTCTGGGCATGCGTACAGTCCTGAGCATGCACACGGTCTTCTAGATGCCCATGAATATGTCAGAGCTTTTCAAAGCCTCTATGAACGTTTCATTACCCAGCTTATTTTTAAAGCTTGGGTTAGTTTATTGTTTTCTCCAACTGTTATTCAACACCTCAGGCAGTCATGAATGTAGTCAATTGCCTGTAATTGTTTTTGGTAATTGCTCCCAGGGAAAAGTCTTTTTTGCATTGGGTGAGCTCTGAATCAAGTAAAATATAGACTGCAGTGCAAGTAGGGTCTTCCAGGAAACCCTCAGACAGGTCAAATAATGACAATTTTTCTGGGAGTGAGGCTTTGAAAGAGCTCCACACTTGTTCTGCTCTCACTGGACGCTACCGGACTATTTGTTTTCACTGTGAATATGGGCTGTTATTTTTGAGTGCTACCACAGAGCTAAAGAGAGAGGGATGAGACTAACACATGTTAAAACACCACAAAGCTTACTTTTATTACTGAGATTCAGTTATTTTTCTTGAACAAACACTCCCACATTGCTGCAAGATTTAGTTTAATTTCTAGAGAGCTGAAAAATTTGATTCCGATGTTTTTTGCCAGTTTTCTTATTGCTTTTATGGAAGAGAGAATTTTCAGAGTTTTACTCCACTATTTTCACTATGTCATCAAGACAGATTTTAAATAAAATGTTATCTTAATATTGACTGTAAATACTGTAAAAAGAAATGCTACTGATGTGAATAATGCTGGGTTGAGAAGACGCTTTTAACAATCAGAAAACACATAAATGATAACATAAATTAGGTTTTTGAAAAATGTAGCCAGTCCCCAAAATGGTTTCCAGTGATCTTTGCCTCCTGATTTCAAACCTCTGTGTGTTTCCCTTCTCCCCAGCCTGAAGCAAGTTTGGTCTCCATGACCAAGAGAATAATTTGGAGGTGATGGTGTATGACTTCTGAGGCTAGTTCACAAAAGACATTACCACTCTCATCTTGGTTTCTTGGATAGCTTATTCTTGGGAAAGCCAGCTGGTATGTTGTGAGGCCACTACCTGTCTGTCAGTTTGTCCTATGGTAGTGGCTTGTGTGTTGCTATGATGCTGGAAGCTATGCCACTGATATTTCAAATGCCAGAAGGGTCACCCACGGGAGACAGTTTTCAGCGAAGCTTCCAGACTAAGACAGACTAGGAAGAAAGGGCTGACAATTTCCTTCTGAAGATCCACCAGTGAGAATCCTATCGGTAACAACAGAATATTGTTTGATATAGTGCTGGAAGATGAGCCCCCTAGGCTGGAAGACACTCAAAGTACACAGTGACCGCAACAATGAACTCAAGCATACCAACAATCATGAAGATGGCACAGGAAAGGGCAACATTTTGTTTTGTTTTACTAGAGGTCAGCATGAGCCAGAACCAACTCAACAGCAGCTAACAATAACAGGTTGTAAGAACACTCAATACCTATGGAGAGGCCCACGTGGAACTCAAGTATTCTGTCAACCAGCACTAACTTGCCAGCTATATGAGTGAGCCACCTTCCAGGTAAATCCTCCAGCTCCACTCAAGAGTTCCTATGACTGTAATCCTAGCCAACATCTGACTGAAACTTATGATGGGCCTTTAGCCAGATCTGTCCAGTTAAAATGCTCCCAAATTCTTGACTTATAGAAACTGTGAGATAACAAATGTTTATTGATTTAAATCACTGAGTTTTGGGATAATGTATTTCTTAGCAATTGATTATTAATACAGAGAGCAATTGAAAATATTTCCATTCAAGGAAGCAAAAATCCTTAAGAAGAAATTGAAATTAAAAAAAAAAAAAACCTCCAGAAAATACCAGCCCCAGATGGTGGTAGGGGCTCTTTCACACCTATCAGACTCTTAAGATTATGTTCAGAGCACAAAAGATGATTGAAAATGTTCCCTATTCATTTTCTGAAAATGGGATAACTCCATTACTAAGATCTTAAAGTGAGAAAGCGAATGAAAATCATAACCTCACTGGTGAATATAGATGTAAAGATTCCAAAAAATCCTACCAACAAAAGGATTCTAGCAGGGTGATATTTTCCAGGAATGCTTTATAAATCTATAAAGCTACAATAATTCAGACCTGAGGTGCTGGCATTAGAATACATATATATTAATGGAATAAAATTTTAAGAACTCAGAAACAGACCACATTAATCTGACAACCAGTTATGAAATTGTCCTTTCCATACTTAGTTGAAGTACCATTTGTCTATATTATATACATATATGATGTAATAATGTATACGGTATGCTGTATGCCGTCGAGTTGCTATTTCACATTAAATATACATATTGTACATGTATGTGACTTACATTAAAGCATATATGACAAAGAGAAAATATCTTTAATCTAAAAATAGATCTCGCCCATAAATCAGAAAACAAGTATTCCAGTTTATAAAAGGATATTAACAGGAAATTTAGAGAAGAAGAAATTCAAATGCCAAAAAAATAAGACAAAAAGTACAATTTTGCTCATAATAAATAAACTGCAAGTTAAAACAACATGAATTCACACCTATTTTCTAAAAAATTGCCAAAGCTTTCAAAAAATGACAGTAGCCAGTATTGGGTTAGTTTGAGAAAAAAAGATGAATATAACTAACAAACTTTCTGGAGATTATTTAGCCAGAATACTGACCCAGAAATTTTACTTATTGCTTGAAATATGAATGTTTTAGGTTATTATTGTTTATTTGTTTTTCTTTATATATATTATTTTTAGCAAAAGAAAATGTAAAAATATCTTACAAATTTTGTTTGTTCTTTCAGCTAGGAGGAAGTGGCTGGATTGTTGCGTAGAAGTACAAGGAAATACCATTTTTCCTTATTAAAAATCCAAGAGCTAACTTTGGTGTTAATTTGCCTCACCACATTTGGAAGTTGCTACATACCGGCAAATAGCGGACCACTTGGCAAACCAGATCAGGTGCCACAAAGTCTCCAGTGAATAGCCAAATAATGTCTGTCAAGATGTTGACCAGCCCTGTGAAAGAGTCTAACCAAAACATAGAGTGATTAATTTCAGTTTCATTCAAAATTGCAGCTCTGTCGCACAGTGGAAATGAATTCCTGGGAGAAACTGTTCCTGATTTATTGGAATTCTATTATGGATACTAAGGAAATGGATAGATGGATGGATCCTGGCTGAAAGCAGAGAATACCAGAAAAATGTTAACCTGTGTTTTACTGACTATGCAAAGTCATTTGTCTGTGTGGATCATCACAAATTATGGATAACATTGAGAAGAATGGGAATTCCAGAACACTTAATTGTGCTCATGAGGAACCTGTACATAATCAAGAGGCAGTTGTTCAAACAGAACAAGGGGATATTGTGTGGTTTAAAGTCAGGAAAGGTGTACATCAGGGTTCTATCCTTTCACCATATCTATTCAATCTGTATGCTGAGCAAATAATCTGAGAAGCTGGACTTAGACGAAGAAGAATGGGGCATCAGGATAGGAGGAAGACTCATTAACAACCTGTGTTATGCAGATGACACAACCGTACTTGCTGACAGTGAAGAGGACTTGAAGCACTTAACTGATGAAGATCAAAGACCACAGCCTTCAGTGTGTATTACACCTCAACATAAAGAAAACAAAAATTCTCACAACTGGATCAGTAAACAACATCTTAATAAACGAGAAAAGATTGAAGTTGTCAAGGATTTCATTTTACTTGGCTCCACAATCAACACCCATGGAAGCAGCAGTCAAGAAATCAAAAGACTCATTGCATTGAGCAAATCTGCTGCAAAAGACCTTTTTAAAGTGTTGAAAAGCAAAGATGTCACTTTGAAGACTAAGGTGCACCTGACCCAACCCATGGCATTTTCAGTCAAATGTTATGCATGTGAAAGCTGGACAATGAATGAGGAAGATCAAAGAAGAATTGACACCTTTGCATTGTGATGTTGGCAAAGAATATTGACTATACCATGGATTGCCAGAAGAATGAACACATCTACCTTGGAAGAAGTACAACCAGGTTTCTCCTTAGAAGCAAGGATGGCAAAACTATGTCTTACATACTTTGGACATGTTGTCAGGAGGGATCTGTCCCTGGAGAAGGACATCATGCTTGGTAAAGTAGAGGGTCAGCGAAAAAGAGGAAGATCTTCAACGAGATGGATTGACACAGTGGCTGCAACAACGAGCTCAAGCATAGCAATGATTGGGAGCATGGTGCAGGACCGGGCATTGTTTTGTTCTGTAGTACATGGGGTCGCTATGAGTCGGAATCAACTCAACAGCACCTAACAACAACAACAACTGAGGAAAAGTAAGGCAAGGCAAGAATCCCTTGACTTTTACCACTCAGATGTAACCACCTAGGAAGGATTTCAATACTGACTGAGAGGAAATCATACCAATCAAATAGGCACATTTCAAGTAGTAGAAAAGGAGTTTCAAGGGCATCAGACCAGTATTAAAGCAAGGACTGTTTGAGGATCAATAAAGGACAAAAATGAGAAAAGCAAAGTGTTTACTTTGGGAGGAGTTCCTGCGTAGTGTAAATGGTTAACTCGCTTGGCTATTAACCAAAAAGTTGGCGGTTGGAGACCACCCAGCGGCACCTCTGAAGAAAGCCTGGGAATCTATGTTCAAAAACTCAGCCATTGAAAACCCTGTGGAGTACAGTTCTACTCTGACACACATGAAGTTGCCATGAGTTCTTTTTTTACCTTTGGAAAGTCCCCTAAGATTCCCCTTCCTGCCTTCATTTTTTCTTTGTTTTACAATTTGTGCCTGTTATTATCTCCCCATCCCCCAATTTCAGCCCCCAGTTTCCTCCATTTGTTTCCCCTTTTCCCTTTCAACTTCTACCTTGGAAAAAATCAAGTGAATAATTTATCAACTAACATAGATAGTTAAACTGCAGAGGAACTGAAGTCAAGGTCTGAGGCCAAGATCAGGGGCTTAGTATTCCTATGAGGAGGTCATTTCACTCAATTCTGTAGTTACAGACTATATAGCAAGGAAGGCAAACATGCCATATGTGTATAACGCTCCTTTCACCCTTCCACTGCAGACATCACTAATCAATCACGTGATATAGAATCTTTCTCAAAGCAGTGTTGTAGTCAGTCTCAGCCAACTGATCAGAGAGGAGCCACAAGATGAATCACATGTGTCATCTCTGCCCTACTTAGCCATGAAATGGACTTTATATACAAGTGTGGATTTAATAACACAAAACTTATAATTTACAGGTCTGGTGATGGTGAGTAAATATTTGTATGTTAGCACATAAAACAATAGAGTATGTACTACTGTCTCCAAAGCAGTGTTTCTAGGGATTCCACAAAAACAGGGGCAAATTGGTAGTGATTGTAAAGGAATTGAGGGAAAGATGCTAGTCACTATGAGTTTACAAGTCTGGAATCCAAGGGAACTACTCCAGAAATCTATGTCCATGTTTGTCTTTTTGTCCAATGGAACGTAACAAATGGATGCTATAAATACGAGCGAATATCCCTCCTTGAGGAGAAGATGAAAAAGCTGCAAGAATACCTCTGAACATTCTACAGTGCTTCTAAACTGGGTGAGGAGAATATGCTATATCAGAAAGAAGAAAGGTTTGATGCGGTTAGTGGAATCAAAATAGCATCTATGAACTGGTGAATAAAGAAGTTAGGGAAGAAGAGATGGGAAAACAGCTGTGGGCTCCTGGAATTATTCCACAGGTTTGAGGAGAAACTCCTATGGGGAGCATAGTTGACTGGCAGCCCTAGCTGAGCGAACAATGACGGTCTGCTTCCATCAGGCTGCTCCCAAACAATGACTGAGCACAGTGTGGTACTAGTGCTGACCCATTCCTGTCTGACTCTAATGGGCAATTATTGCTCTGGGCACCCTATTGATCTGGCTAAGGTTTTCTCAGAACTGCACTGTGATCTGAGATTCTTCCTACCCCATTTTTCTTTCTTTTCTTTAACAGGGTTGGAATTGTCTCATGGGTTGAAGGCTCTGCCTACTTCTGCTTCCTCCCCTTTGACCCTTCACAGGGGCACCAGGGTGGCTCTAGAGAATAGGTGGTAAAATGGGCTTTAGGGGCTGGCTCACTCACCAAGTCATTGGCAAGAAGAGCCTTGTTGTGAGTGGTATGCGAGGCACGGCCAGTACCTGGCACAAGGTGACTTCCCAATTGCTAAGGATTTCACCCTTGTTGATCTGGAAAAACGTTTGGTTGGAGATAAACACCCTAGCTGGTAGGTTGATTCGGGCAATTGAGAGATGTGAGGGGAATAGCAGAGAAAAAATGAGAAATGCAGGATCATTAACAGATAAAGGCTAAGTGTGACAGCCAGGTCTCCTTGGTAGATTACAAGGCAGTCCTCCTCTCCTCTAGTGGGAGAGGGGACATAGCTGAGAAGCAAACTTAGGACCTAATAGTTGGGTCCCAGACCTCCATAGACATTTAAATACTCAGCCAAGACACATCTGTTATACTAAGGTCAGGGTTCTGGTTAGGGAAACTTGGAACCCCCAAACATGGGGTGAGGACATTTGGGTGACTATCCCCATTGATTTTGGATCTGCAAGACTCCTGAAACTTCAGAGCTGGCAGAGGCAGCCCACCCCTCTGAAGTAAGAGCTAGCACTTAAATGTGGGCAAGACATGCAGAAGTCTCCCCGCAACAAGGCCTCAGGAGCCGCCCTTACCTTCTTTCCTGGCTGCCAGGAGTATAACAACACAAATAAATATCAGCATAGGCTGGCTGGGGACATTCTGAGTCTGCTAATGGAAGAAAGAGTTTATACCCCAAAGGAAATGCAAGAATTAGTCAGCATGTACCTCCAAGAGCTGCATGAGTACACCTGGGTTTTGGATGGACAGGACTGGAACATAAGACTGTATAAGAATTCATCAAATTGGGGTCATTTTCTACAGACATGAGATATAACACCCTATCTAGGACCCTAGGACACAGGGCAAACTCTCTGTTAGGATGGCTCTTAGAAGCCTGGAGGAAGTGATGTCATTCATAAGCAAGATGGAAATGCCTTCATTGCTCAGATAGAGACTGGAGAAAAGAATAAAAAGGCTGAGGCAAGTGGGCTTGCTGTAATTGATATATTAAGTAAATCCAGAAGACCCACCAGAGAATTATCTTCCATGGCAGGGCTCAGAATACACGTTAATCATTAAAATCATTAGGAATGCACTGCTGAGGCTGGTGACAGCATCATGAAGAAGCTCAGAGGTTGCTCCCCTCTGCAGGCTAGGACAATGGTAGGAGAGGAGGTCACAGAGCTGGGCTTGCAATACTATGACAGGTATAGACTGTAATTATTCCCCTAGTCCTTTACCAAAGGGACCTATGACCATTTATTTACATTACTGTATACTGGGGATAAGAGATTAAGCAGACATTTTGAGGACTATTAGACATAGGATTTGAGTTGACATGATACCCAGAGACCTGAAGTGTCATTATGTCCCCAATATTAGAGTGGGATCTTATGGGCCAGGTAATAAATGGAATTCTGGCTACAGCAGGATAGGTCACTTGGTCCATAGTGGTTCCTAGTGCTTACTTCCCCAGTTCCCGCATGTTTAACTGGGATTGACATACTTGGCAGTTTGGGTAGCCTCATATTGATTTCCCCATCATAGTGGGCAAGGCCAGTGGAAGTCTTCAATTCACCAGTTTGTCCCTGCAGAAACAATGAATCCTGGAGAATGACTGTAGACTACTATAAGCTCTAACAAATAGTAGCCGCAATTATAGCTACAGTGCTGGATGTAGTATCTTTGCTAGAGCAGATTGATAAGGCTTTAGGTACATGGTATGCAGGCATTGATTTGGCAAGGATGTTCTTAAATAATGTTATCAGGAGAGAGTATCAGAAACAGTTTGCATTCACATGGAACAGACATTAATATTCACTTACAGTTTTGCCCCAAGGCCATGTTAACTCTCCTACCCTCTGTCATAATAAGGTCTGAAGAGACCCGGACCATCTGGACACTCTGCAGAACATCCTG